GTAGATAGAGCTCTTTATGAGCTACAAGAATACATATAATAAGTGCCTCTTCCACTCAATATTTGTTTAAAATATAACTTCAAGGCTATGTCCACTATAGTGGACATAGGGACTCTATCGGTTAAACACATAGAATTACTGAAATTCTCATAAACGTCTATGTTTATTCAGTTTTCAATTATCGTTCGAACGCCGTTTGAGTAAACTCTCTGTCAACTTGCTGAGCTGAGATATTTAAAATTTAAAAAAAGTCGAAAATTTAAAATTTGAAAATTAATTTAAAAATTTAGATTTTCCGTTGGAGACTGATTTTTTTTAAAAATGTTCGTCTTTCAATGCTGCATACGAATGTCACCTTCAGAATTAATTTCTGATGTTTAGTTGTTTTTTAAACTAATTTTACGCTGTACCTGTACGTTAAAAACCGTACCCTACTTCCGAGCAGTTTGGAAAAAACCTTCCGCTAGACAAAAGAAAGAGCATGTCCAGAAACCCCTAAGCGCCCAAAACGAGTTAAATCAGAGTGGTAGGAACTGATTGTACAAAATACAGGAGAAGTCAAATAACAATGAAAACAAAAATTGATAATTATCGAGCACCAGTCATAATCAAAGTACCAAAGACAGGCACAGAATTTATTATAGAACCAAAAATAAATATCGGAATGGCTATTGACACCACCAAAGGGTGTCAGCAAGGGCTATTGACACCTCCAAATAGTATGTAGACTGTGCGAGAAGTGTATTTCATATAATGACATGAATGCACTTTAGACATAGGTGAACTTCGGTGAAATTCATTGGATGAAACTTTAACAATCCTTATGCTGCGTTGGATAAATATTCATGTAGACTGGCGACATCATCAAATATCTGTGTAACTGCTTCGTGGCCGAAGAAATCCTCTTTATCAAATGAGTTCTTTTAGTGTTTCAGCATGAGTTTCATCCAATGAATTTCACCGAAGTTCACCTATATCTGAAATGCATTCATGTCATTATATGAGGTACACTTGTCGCACAGTCTACATATTAGAACTCAGAGGTGTCAACAGAGGTGTCAACAATGGCTATTGACACCTCTAGGGTTTAGTGTGCAGACTGAAGCTAAACCATTCTTGAATGGATTGTAGTTGCGCCGAATATTAAAGAACAGCCTTTTTACTATTAAAGATATTCAATTTACGGAACAGTGCCAAAAGTGTACGATTAATTGTCTAAATTCTTTCTTGTCGTTGTCAGAGGACTGTAAGTGCGCACTATATATAGAGTAACCACGCTACTACTATCAAAGCGATTGCTGTTGTTTCGCTGTTTTATTTTTGAATTACGCCCACAAAGATAATAACTAACGCTCGAAGTAGCGACCGATCTGAAGCATCCACTCCGACTTCTACAGTTTCCACGGCCGACTTTCACAGTTTACCTTGTCCCAAAATAACAATAAGAATATGGAATCTGCAGATTAATAAACACTTGTTTGCAGAGTTTGTATGTTGTATGTCAAAAAAAGAAATGCACGTCTGCGTTTTTTGAAAGTCTGAGACCTAATTTTAGTGCGAGTTTGTTTACTTGCATTCGACAATTCTCACTATGAGTTCTGTCTTCCTCCTAGTGGATCCTGTAATTCTATGCTCAGACAAAACGTACTCTCGGTATCACCTACTATATAACGACTTTTTGCGTGTATATTTTTTTTGTTTACTTTAGGACTGATTTTTTTGTTTCAGAGTCTTTAAACGTTTTCATGCGCATTTATACAGATTTCTTAAAAGACAGAACACTTTCTGGCATTTTCTCTATTCTTTCATCAGAGAAGAAATATATAGAAACCGCACATTTTTTTGTTTCTGGCTGTATATATATATAACACAGAAAGATACCCGAAAAGGAAAGGGAAAAGTTCAGCTGTGTGCCTATAACTCTCTCTATGGAGCAACAACAAACTCTAGCTATGAACTTTCTCAAACTCTAAATTGTTTGTGAATTCTGTGTAAAAGCATGAAAACGCATCGAGAGAAAAACAAATAAGCTCGAATCAGAAATTTCAGTCAGTAACGAAAGTGCTCATTTCAGCTCTCTCATTCTGCAGCTCGAGTAACGAAATCTTACAGTGTTGCTCATAATGCTTTTCAGTGAAAAATCGCTCAAGCTTCGATAGTTTTGTTTTTCTTTTTTAAAGTTCAAATTTTTATTTACGGCGAAGAACAAGCAAACTCTCACTAAATTTCAGATTTCTCTTTGATTTCATTATTCTCGAGTTTTGAAAATGTTCTGCACTAGCGAAATAATAGCAAATGATAAATCTAAGTGATGTCTCTGTCTAATCGAAATATATTGTGTCCTGAACTGCCACGTCTAAATATAGCTTTGGACCCTAACTAATATTCGCTTCAGTGTTCTTCAAATGTATCTTTTAGATTAGACTAGTTGCAATGTACAATGATACTCATATCTCAAGCCTATATCATTATCATGATTATGTGGCAGCATGTCGACCATCTGGAATCGTGTATGAGTTGGAAAATCACAATCAATTAGAAAATGATGTAGCAATAGTTTCTAAATATACAACGACAATGACCTCTGATTCAAAAGTAATGGAAAAATTGAAAGTCTATTTCTTACAAAACCAGGAATTTTTTCAAAATGAAAAAACCATCAGTTGGAGCGTTCAATGTGTTCCTCTGTATTCAGTTAGAACAGAAGGTAAGTTAAGTATAATAGCCAAAAAATGAAGACCGCTTCTTTCAGATCTGAAAGAGAAAAACCTACAAATAGATACTGGATCGTTCTTCCAAATTCCCAGTGTTGTTTCTATGTATTATTGCGAGATGAGTAATAAAGAAGTGGACAGAAAATGTATAAATAAACGTAAGAGCCATTCGCGTGCACTGCAGCAACATCCACCACTTGTATGGTGGACGAAAACAAAAAATGAAGAGGGACAGACAGGAGACACTAGTTATTATCTTACTACTTGCTGCAGTGATCATCCAGGCACGGTGATGATGATGTGATATGAGGTAGAGACAGGTAGCAGCCAAGAAAGTGTCTCTTTCTGCTGCTTAATGTAGCTATCATGCATTCATGGTGATAGGATGAACACAAAATAGATGGATACTCTCTGAAAAAAGTCGGTTTATAAATTGGCAGCCAAAAAGCAAAGTCTTGCTGACGTGAGATGTGAAATAAAAAATGTAGCTATATAAATACATAGTACCGTCAAGCACTTGTTGATCGCAGCTGGTTTCACTCTTTTATCTGTGAAATACACTCTGCTTGGTTTGTTTATAAAGATATTCGACTAGTTTTGTGTCAGAATAAGTGTTTCTGCAGAACGTCAAATAAACTAATATGTTTGCCAGTGGAGACAAGCCTCGTGCTGAAATTTGAGTTATCTACCCTTCACTCGTCTTACACTTGTAGGAAGAATTTGAACCATGTCATCGTTACTTTCTACTATCGAACAACTGGAACTGGTTTACGATGAAGAAGCGAAAACAATATCATCTGATCAATTGAAAGCTGCATTTGATTATTATGCCGAACGCTTTACTCCGAATACTACCGTTGAAATTATTCACTCATTATCGAAGATTCCTACGCTAAAATCCAGCGGTAACTCATCATACTTAACTCATCCAATTATTTCACTGGTTTATGGTCGCTTGATTGAATCTGTAAAGAAAGCTCTTTCCGGCGATGATTCATTGTCCATTGATGAAATTGTTTTAATGGAAAACTGTCTTCATTTTCTCTTAAAATTAGTAGAAGCCGCACGGCAAGAAGGAGGAGCTCTAGAAGACCAATTATGTAGGAAAATTCTTCAAGTAAATGAATCGTTTTTGGAATTTATTCAACACGATGGTTGGAAAACAATGGAAAACCATGAACAGACAATGAACAAAGTTGTTGAGCTTTTAGCCCGACCAGAAATATCTGTTGAAGATGATCTGCGACTGTATGATGCATTTGTTCGATGTGTTAATTCATCAGATGGCATTATTGATTATCTGGAAGCTGTGAAACGACTTGATACGACATTGTTAAGCGAACGTGACAAATTTTTATTATTTACCAATTTTAATTACATTCTCGAGAATACTCGTTATACAACTGAATTTCAGAAAGAATTTGTTACTTTATGGGTACCAAAATATGAACATATGTTAAAAGAATTGTTATCAGTAGCAGCGGCAGCAAAAGAGGATGAAGATTTGCAACTGAATGCAATAAAATATTTGGTCACAAATCTGATTCTAATGCAACGCACAATAGAACCTGAGGAGAACTATTCTTCAAGAGGACAAACCAACGATTTTGTACTGAAAGACGAATGTTCAGTAATAATTAAAATGCTCTTACCTTTGTTGACTAATCGACACATTCTTAAAGATCTCATGGAAGGTGAAAGTGCTGAATTAAAGGTTTTGTATAACAATATCAATTCTACTACAGGTGTAACAGCTACATTCGTTATTTGGATAGTGTTAAAATTAATTCTAATGTTTCTTAATGTAAATGGCGATTGTCTGACGTATGAGAAACAAGATGAAAAATTAAAAGAAACATTATTAGAATTAATGAAACAAATAAACGATGATAATCCAATAAAAGTTTCTATCTATAATATTTTGGCATTGCTAATGAGCGAACAAGATATTAAAAATGAACTCAGTAATGCAAAGGCAATAATTGGGACGTTGATTACTTGTATACATGACGCTAATGAACATCCTGAAGGCGAGAGTGCTCGGGGTGGCGGAAATTTATCCGATTTGATGGTAACACTAAAAGGTATGTTTCTTACAAACTGCAGTAGCCCATTCGCCGCTGTATCACTGTTTGTAAGCATACATCAGTATTGGCATTCAAATGGAAATACTGATATCGATTATAGTGAAACAGTGAGGTTTTTTTCTTTTGTTTTATAAAAATGCAGTTATTTTAGAGGTAACGTCGGTACAGATGAGTTAAAAACAGATAACCGTGTTTATATAGAATTACACAAATGAAAGAGAGGAAAATTCTGTTAAAACAGCCAAAGTTGTCATTGTTGTTCTGTCTAACGAGGGAAGGGCACCAACTGTCCCATCACTTTTTGTGTAAAACTTAGTGGAAAATAGGTAATCGAGTGTGCTGAATCCGAATATCACAATCGTTTTTCCCCAAAGACCTTTGGTGATGCCGGTTTTTGAAAAATCAGGTTTCCAGGCCAAATAATTTATCATTCAAAAAATCTATTTCTGACCCAGTTAAAGCCCTGGACAGATTAGAAGACCCCTTGGAATAGAAGACCCCCCCCATAATAGAAGACCCCCCCATAATAGAAGACCCCTCTTGAAAGAGCGAAGCAAAAGACAGATTAGAAGTATGTGCATGTATGTGTCTGTCTTTTCTCTTGCGGTCTGTTTGATGTGATATGTAGCGAGCAGAAAAGTACATTGCGATCATCGTTTGGTGTCTTTCTTTCTCACTCCCTTCTTTTACAGAATAGAAATCGTCTGTTACATTCATAACTGAAATATTTCTCAAGCAATTATTATGAACATCGATTCAGTCGTCAACACTGAAAAAATAACACTTCTCTAAGGGACACAATAGAAGACCCTCCTAAAACGTGTGAATGATAGGACAGAATAGAAGACCCCGGGTCTTCTAATCTGTCCAGGGCTTTATATGAAAGAGCATCTTATGTGGCTCTAGTCATTATAGTTGTAACGCTCTGGTGTCAATTTGATATGATTTTAAATGTTTATTTAGAAACTGAACATGATATCCTTTGTACAAAAATAGCGTATATTTATATGAGAGTTTACACGAAAAGCGGAATATTCTAGAGTTGATGTACTA